TATATATATATATATTGATGAAGTCTAAAACTTGATACTAAGTGTGAAAGAATTTAGAAAATGGCTATTATAACTCAAATTATTTAAGTGCCCCATGAATTTGTAAGCTAGGGTGGTTAGCGCATGGATAATCCACCTGGATGACTGTAGTGAACAATCTTAATTCGTTCGAAAATGCTATATCTCTAATGTGATATAAATTTATAATATGATGTATTATGTATTATTATATAATTAATTATTTTATTTATAATTTTATTTATAATATTATATATATTTATTTAAAATTATATTATATTAATTTAATATTACAATATTTTTATTTATTATCATATTATAATTATAAACTTGTAATATTATGTAATATTGTAATCGTTCTTTTCCCTTTCCAAAAAAATGATTACAGAAAAAATGAAATTATTGCATACGCCAATTTGTTTGGTGGTTGTTTGTTGTTTTCCTTCTAGAATCATAAGCCTGGTTGGTATGCAGTCTTTGGTAGGAATTATTAATCGTCAAGAGTTGCTCTCTTTTTCTTTTTTAGTTAAATATTAATTTTGGTCATTCAACTTAAGATTTTACATTATTTTTATCTTTCAACTTTTTTTTTATATTTTTTAATCCCTTAACCATAAAAAATGTACCTTTTTAGTTTTTTTTGTTAATTAATCCGTTAAATCTATCTGCTTTTACATATTTTTAGTCTTTCAACTTTTAATATATGCATATTTTTAGTTCTTTAATTTTAAGTTAAGGAATTAAAAATGTACAGATTTAGATAAATTTAATGGATTAACTGACGAAAAGATAAAAAAAATGCACTTTTCATAGTTAGAGGATTAAAAAAGTACAAAAAAAGTTAAATGATGAAAAGCGTGCAAAACTTTAAAGTTGAAAGACCAAAATTAGCATTTAACCATTTTTTTTTCAAAACAAAATTTTAAGTGATGTAATAAAAAACAATTTTATCTATTTAATTTTCAATATCACATTAATATTTTTTTATCTAAATTACACAATAAAAAAGAATTTTCTTTTATTCTTTATCTCACTTTCTTTATATACCATACAATTCGAATTCATATCTTTTCCTTTTAGTAAAAGAAATTACTATTAAATTATTTAGTCTATTAACACTACATTAATATATTATGTGACTTAAGCTAAGTATTTTTTACTAAAACAAGACAATTACTAAATGAGTTTTTTTATTATATACTTTAAAAAGTACTTTTTTATTATAAATATGTATAAAAAATATGAAAATTAATATTAATTTTAATATTAATATTAAATAAATAAATTCAATTAGATATTAAATAATTTAAAATTTGATTTTTATTTTTTAAAAATATAAATTCATGATAAAAAATATGTTTAAACTCTTACTTTTTTTAAAACCCTTATTAAATTACTTAAGTTGTTTTCCAAGGTTTAATTATCTAAGATTCTAAAGATAGTTTGAGTGATTAAAGTGTAACTTCGTCAAATAGAGACCAATCAATGGTTTCCAAGGGATCCGTTTCTAACACAGAAATTTCATTAAAAAAACTTGATACCAACCATGCCTGTGGTTACGCATAAATTTGGTAGGACCTATTTTTTTTATATGTATATATTGATAGTACAATGAAAAATAATTATTTTTTGTTTTTATGGCAAAACGTGCAGATCACCCCCTTAACTCACTTACCGGTGGCAAATCAGTCCCTCAACTTACTTCACACGCAAACCACCCCCTCAACTCACCTGCAGTGGCAAATCACCCCCTTTGTTGACGCCGGCATCATCCTTCCATTAGCTTTTAATAGTCCGTTCACCCACTCCTCTTTTGCGTCTGATGTGGCATTTTTTTTTACTGAGATGGACAAGCCACCTGGACAAATCACCCCAAAATCATCGGATCAAGCAAATTTCTTGGTGGGATGGCGAATGATTTGCAAAATCCCTAAGGTGTGAGAAATTGGGAATTTTTCTAGGGTTAACATAAAACTAAACCAGTTCAACACAAAGTGAACTTTAGCAAGGAAGAAGAAAAAGAAAAGATGGAAACTTTTGAAGTATATCATACATTCATATCACTTCACACTTACAATTGAATCAGCTGTGAAGTTAAAATAATGGAACACGATAGCCAACACCAAGAACACAATGCCTACAACAATTCCCAATGATTCAGGCTTGCAGAACAATCAAAAACATCACTAAGTTCATTAATTCACAGCTATATAAAAACATAATTGACAATCTGGGATCTAATTCATCTTTGAATTGGAAATAAAATCCATACACAGTTTAGTAATCCAAAATGAAACCCAAAATTAACAGATACCCAGTTCCCCAAACGAACCAAAACCTATGAAACCGAAGGAAAATAGCAAAAGAATCAAACTCACACTTTAACAGTTCCTTGAGGGGTACCCCTCTTGTTGATATCATACCCAAACAAACTATGTCGAAGAACATATTTAGAAGCCACGGGTATCATCTTGAGAGTAACGAAGAACCCAACAAGACTGAGTCCGGCATTGATGAGGATCGATCTCCTAAACTCTTGGTCGATCTTTTAGTGGAAGAAGAGGAGGTAAAAGTATGGGATTGAGAAGAAAAGACAGAGCTTCGCAATTACACCCAATTTCGATGGCGCAATCGGTGGGTCAAGCGACGTGCTTTCTCCGGATTTGTGCTCTGTCTCAGTTGGCTTCATGTCTACTGCTGCCGTTGTTGTAGCTGTTGCTGAGGCTCTCTTTCGAGCTGCCATGGCTGCGTGCTTCTGCAAAATTCTCTGAAATTTCTATTTGTGTTATTACACGGAAGGAGTCGAGCCATTTGCTTAACTGTTCAATTCGTGTTGACTACTAGCCAACGTGCCAGCTATTTCCACATAAGCTAAACTGCTATGAGGTACGGGTGAACAGACTATTGAAAGCTAATGGAAGGATGATGTTGGTGTTAACAGAGAGGTGATTTGCCATTACAGGTGAGTTGAGGGGGTGGTCTGTGCGTGAAGTGGATTGAGGGGGTAATTTGCCACCAGTAGATGAGTTAAGGGGGTGATTTGCACGTTTTGCCTATTTTTATCTCATCTCACCCTTTAATATAGCTAAATTGTCTAAAAACTTAAAAAATTTGTGTAACAAACAAATTTGCATGTCCCACAACCACCAAACATGCCTCATACGCTATCTGAGATTTCCCTTTCTTGTACCAAAACATCCTTATATTAGTCTTTTTGCCTTTTACTTCAAATAAATTAAATTGACAAAAAATGGAAAGAAAATCCCTATGTACAGAGAGAAATCTCAATTGGTCAACTCCCAAAATCGAACCAGCAACTACTAAACTTGACTTTCGTGCCGGAGTAGGTCCGATGACCGTTCACCGGTTTCTTCATCCCTTCCGAACACCAGTTGATCAAATGGAGACCTAACAGACTTAAACAAACCCTTCGGCAGTGTACCCACCGCCTGATCAGTGCTCGTCGATATCGAGGATCGTAGCGAACCCGCCCTTGTGAAAAATGGTGGTGTCAAGGTGGACCCCCACCCGTCCGGCCGCTCGATCCGCTCATACCTCCCTCCGCTTCTACTTCTATAACCTCTCCTTGAACTCGCCGCCCTGGGCAGCGCCACGCAACTCGTCGTACGGTTCAATGTCGAGGTCATCAGCTCCCTCCGTGCTTCCTCCGGTAACCTTAACGTGAACCGCTCAGAGTCCCCACCACGTTGAACCAGGGAATGACCCGTCGAGTGAGAACGTGGAAACAATGCGGTTAAACTCCATCCCGTCGACCTTGATCTCGGCGGTCTGTTCTCAGTCACCGCCACCACTGGGTTACTTATTAAATTCACGTCGGGAGATGATTCTATTACATTAATTCTTGCTTCATTTCCATCGTCATTGTCGTGTTGGCTTTCGGTTTCTGTTTCTGCATCTGGGTAAATGATCTGGAACGTGGCGCCGGAGTGGTCTTCGCCGGGCTTCGGAACCAAGTTGGCGCGGCAAACGGGACACGTTGAGTGAGAATACAGCCAGGCGTCGATGCAATCAGGATGAAAGACGTGGTTGCAATTCGGAATCAATCGCAGCGTTTCGTCGTCCTCAAACTCGTTCAAACACACGGCGCACTCAAGTGCACATTTCCGAATCCTGAGATTCTTCACCGCCGAGTACGGGAATGTAGGAAAGGACTCGATCACCGCCGGATCAAGTCCACGCGCCACCCTCCTCGACAGCCGGCCTAAACCAAAGGAACCATTAAAATTCCCCCCACGAATCCCCCGTTCCGCGCACTGCCGGATGTAAACAGAAAAGAACCCCAAGAAGAAGAACGTGCAGATAAGAAGCACCATGACGATCGCCATGGATGGGTTGAATTTCGGCCCGATCGGTGGAAACCCATTGAACGGCGGTGGTGGTGCTGGCACAGTTTGATACTGCCCCACAGCATACGGTAAACCGTGAAACATGAAACAGAGCAGTACCCATGAAACCCCACCTTTGAAATTGAAAATTCGAAGGATTAAACTTCTGATTTTCAGATTACAGAGCGTCATCACTCATAAGATGAAATTTTGTTGATTTTTCATGAGTTATGAAGAAGCAATCGTGAGATTTTTAGCTGGGGCTTAATGATTTTCTTGTTGCTCAAAAGCAAAGCAAAGCAAAGCATAAAGCGAAAATGGTGTTTTCTCTCTTGGGAAAATAAGGAGGAACAGCGAAGGGACGCGGTGAAGATATAAAAAACAAATAAAAAAAAAATATCAGTCTGCCGGTTTAGATGTTTATATAGATATATTTTTTATTAACTTTTTTAATATTTAGTAATCATGTTATATTAAATTAATTTAAAATTAAATTACATAAGACTCTATTAAAAAAAATTCTCTCAATACTTATTTTTCTATTTATAATACTTAAACTTAAGATTTTATTTAAAAAAATCGAACTCCTTTTACTTTGATGAATAGATGGTTAGATGTAAGGGTGTTCATATTCGATCCAATCCGATTGATCTGACCTAAACTGATCCAATTCGATTAAAAACCAAACCAAACCGATATAAAATTGGATTGGTTTGGATTATAAAAATTTAAAACTGATATAATTGGTTTGGTTTGTGATTTTACTTTCAAACTGCCCGAACCGCTCGATTATAAAAAAAAATCTGCTTATAAAATAACTTAATTAAATAATATAATATTTTTATAATATTTCAAATTTTTTTTTCTTATTTTACAAGATAATGACTCTGTTGATTTAATTAAAAATAA